TATATATATATATATATATATATATATATATAGAATGTATGTCTGAAGAAAATATGTTTATATAAAAGAAGAATGTATGTATGTGTGAGAGAGAGCAGCACTCGTTCACTCGCATAAGCCTCGCCCACTCCTGACAGCAAAATGGATATATTTGCGTGACTTTCTGACATTTACAGATGAAGAATATACCTGTGACGTGTCAGTTATGCACAGAGGAAAACAATCAAATGCATTAAACAGCACAAATATATTCGCTGTTAGCCATGGTGGATCGATTTGATCCATGATCGACAAAGAGTTGCTTAAAAATAAACGTGCACAAATTAGTGATATTGTGTGAACTTATGTCGTTTATGAAACCGCCCCGATTGATTGGTTAGGTTATTTCAGGTCAGGGTTTGGACTTTAATCCCTGCATTTCCTCAGGTCTCCGTGGTGTTGTGATGCGTCATATTCACGCAGCAGTGGTGATGAGAGAATGTGCTTGAGAAACAGTTTAGAGAGGAGAAATCAATCTACATATAAAATATTGGTCACTTTCTAAACAATAAAAATATAGCGCATCCACTAGTAATTATATATAAATAAATCGGCTTTTACCGATGCAAATGCATCAGAAACGATGCATCGCGATACAAATGGCAACTTGTATCTGATGTGCACTTTTTAAACCGATGCATCGCATCGTTAACGTTTTATGCCGATGCACCGAGCGAATCGGTGAATCTTCCCATCCCTAAAATATATATATATATATAGAACTTTTTGGTAAAAACTCAACTTGTCGTGTTTGGAGGTACATGGCCTCGTCCCTTGAGCGAGTTGTGATTGAGGACGCGGGCTCAGCCTGGGTTGTGGATTTTTTTCCCACTTAATTTAGGAAGTGAATAAAGGGGGAGGTTGCAAGTTAGGGACAGATAACTCAAGATTTGGACTCATTGCGGTTTATTTATTTTTAGATTGTTTTGTTTGTTTTTTGATATCTGGCAATGCTGGCATTTAAACTGACAATAATCAAAAACGACCAGGTTAAAAACAGCGTGGGCAGGTTATTCCTGACAGGATGCAATTCGGTAACACAGCTGGATCGTCTCGGGAATGGAGTCGCCATTCTCCAGGGAACGTGAGCTGTCGTGAGAGCGCGTCGGCTGCACAATTGAGTTCCCCCAGGATGACAGTAATTAAAAGGTTAAAAACAGCGCGGGCAGGTTATTCCTGACAGGATGCAATTCGGTAACACAAACATAGTGATCATCATGCTATATTATCTGTAAGACAGATGCACTGAAGACGGACACAAAGAGGAGAGAATAGTCGCGCAAGCAGAGAAAATACTGTACCAGACAGAACCAATTCATTGTTTGCGATGCTCGAAATACTGAAAGAAAACCATAATTATGGAATTAGGGTCTGGGTTAATATGGATGTATTTCTGAGGAGAACTGAATGTCTTTAGAAAAGTTTCGTTGGCATTTTCTTTTTCCTCTTACCTTTGTTAAATACATATTAAAGGAGTGTTAATATGCACAGTGCTGCCTACAGCAATAACCCAGGAAACCCTTTATTGCTACTGTTCTATAAGCACCACCTGGTGTCAGAGATTGAATTTGCATATATACAGGTGCATCTCAATAAATTAGAATGTCGTGGAAAAGTTTTCAGTAATTCAACTCAAATTGTGAAACTCATGTATTAAATAAATTCAATGCACACAGACTGAAGTAGTTTAAGTCTTTGGTTCTTTTAATTATGATGATTTTGGCTCACATTTAACAAAACCCCACCAATTCACTATCTCAACAAATTAGAATATGGTGACATGCCAATCAGCTAATCAACTCAAAACACCTGCAAAGGTTTCCTGAGCCTTCAAAATGGTCTCTCAGTTTGGTTCACTAAGCTACACAATCATGGGGAAGACTGCTGATCTGACAGTTGTCCAGAAGACAATCATTGACACCCTTCACAAGGAGGGTAAGCCACAAACATTCATTGCCAAAGAAGCTGGCTGTTCACAGAGTGCTGTATCCAAGCATGTTAACAGAAAGTTGAGTGGAAGGAAAAAGTGTGGAAGAAAAAGATGCACAACCAACCGAGAGAACCGCAGCCTTATGAGGATTGTCAAGCAAAATCGATTCAAGAATTTGAGATATACATATACATATACATATACATATACGTATATGTATATAAAATCATTTATATAGATTAATTTCGACTAAACTCACTTCCTGGTACGGTGTCGCACCCCTCTCTCTTTTCTTCCTTCGCCCTCATGGCGATGATGTCTGTGTTTCCGCTCTCCTCCATCTGCATGCTCACACTCAGGTCCTCTTTCCCTGCCCTTACTCCTGTGTCTCTTCCCTCCGCCCTCTCCCTCATCCTTTGCAGTTTTATGGTGTTGGCGGGCCTGGCTGCAGCGCTCGCCATGCTGATGTCTGCGGTGAGACTCTCTACCCACCCCATGGCTCTCGGAGCCTAAAAGACTCCGACGAGACCCTGTGGAGTCCCCCCTTTCCAACGCTGCCCAGGGCTCAGACCCTCCACCTCCTCCTCCACTCTCCCCCTCATTGAAGTTGGGCTGTTTGTGCAGGAGCTGATGAGTGTGCTGGGGCTGGATGTCACCCGGATGAGTTTTGTTGGTATTGTTATTGCGGTTCTCCTGAGGGTCCACGACCAGCGGCCGATCCAGATGTGTCTTCATATCGGGACGAATGTGACGGGAGTATGAGACCTAGAGGCATGATAAAAACAAAACTAAGGCCACACATTTGTCAATCAAATAAGAACTTAATTCAAGACAAATATTAACCAAAATATTAAAGCTGTAGGACATTCTTTCTTGTGTGGAACATAAAATAAACTATTTTGAAGAATGCTGGTAACCAAACAGTTGCTGGTCTCCACTGACTTCCATAGTATGAAAAAAATATATATTATGGAAGTCAATGGGGACCAGAAACTGTTTGGTTACCAACATTCTTCAAAATATTCTCTTCTGTGTTCAGCATAATAAAGAAATTCATACACGCTTGGAGCTTAAGGGTGAGAACATGATAACTGCATTTTTATTTCTGGGAAAACTAACCCTTTAATATCTATTTATTTATATACATTCTATTTATATTAAAATAAATATTTATATCATGATACTTAATATTTTGTTGCAGATTGTTTAAATAATTTATTCACTAGACTTATCTTGCTTTAAAGGATAATGGAAAACAAGACAGAAATACTGAATTAAAAATGAATGTTTTTGTGTTGAACCTGTAAACTGGGGGTCACTGTATATACTATTATTAGGAAACACATTAAAAAACACCAATATCAGAATTCTTGTTAATGCGTTAAGCTTCTAATTATTTTAATATTATGCCCAATTTATTCCCATTTATTGTTTATAAATGGTTGATATTTAAATGTGATACTATTTTGTCTAAATAAATGAAAATAACCAATCAATTTGAAATGAAACCAATCTTAAAGTAAATTAAGGAATCACAACACTATAAATATTCCAAAAAATAATGGATATTCATTTTGAGATTTGAGATTACGTTTAACAGTGTTATTAAATGTAAAAAAGTAAAAAATAGTGGAAAAGTACAATTAAATATGCAATAATTGACCGATGAAATGAAAACTTTTTTATCAGCTGATAACTGATATTTAACTCCATCCTTTTCGACCAAGCATGTCTTTCTCCGTCATTTCTTCTCACCTTCCAGCGATCTTCAGGGTCCAACTCATTGTAAAGAGCCTCTCTGCTGTTCATCAGGGTCTGTCGTCTCAACTCGCTAGTGCGCTGCTCCCATACCGATTTACAACCTTTGTGGTTCTTCTGTTGCTCTTTACTGCAGAAAAGAGAGAGAGACAGAGAGAGAGACATTTACAGTAGATCTGAGATTAGTAATCATCAAGAGGGAAAAGTGAGGTTGCTGCAGCTACCACAGGCTGAAAATACCCACCTACAAGCTACCAGCTACCATTTGTTAAAAAGCATGATTGCACCGCTTGGGTCAAACTCACTCACAGAATACACACACAGAAAGAAGATAACTATAATAATTCTGGGAGTGAACACATCACAGGCGCCCAACCCTTGGAGCAAAGCATGTGAAAGAGAGGAAGTAAAGGAGATAAGAGGAGAACAGCAGGTGATGAGTAGCAGGATGAAGAGAGAAGAAGAGACGAGGAGTGACAAACCCGTCCCATCCCACCCAGCGGTCTGGAAAACAGAGCAGGGAGCAGCACAGAGAACCGAGGAGGAAATGCACATGTCGAAAAGGCGGATGGGAAAAGAGTGGGAGGTGTGGGGCGAACAGAGAGGCGTTTCAAAAGAACAGAAAGAGTATAAATGAATAAATACCAGTCCAGAAAGTGTTCTGTTGCATCAAGACGCTCAGAGTTTACTGTCACGCTGAGGAGGAAAACAGCATGTGAGAAACACAGAACATCTCTTTGCTCTTCTCCCTCATTCACAAGCTCGTCCTCAGTAATACACACATATTCTCTCACGATTCTCTCTTCTTTTCCTGACAAATACTTGGATGCATTGGCACACTGACAAACCGGAATCATCCTCAATGCTGCAATTTTTGACACTTGTTTGACGGAAACCAAAAAAGCCAGATTGAAAGTGTTGCTGTTTGTTTTGTATTTATTTTATTTTTTTGTCTATTATTGACCCCTATGTTTATTTGGCTGATACAAGAGCAACACATAGTCTGAACACATAAAAACAAACATAAAAGGAAGACAAAGAAATTGTGGGAGAGAAAATGTGGCATCAGGACAAAGAGAGAGATATGAGAGAGAAATATACTCACGCAGCAATGGAGAGGTTGGCTGCAGACAGTGGGCTGACCTCTGCTACTTCCTTGGCCGCCTGAAGAGCCATTTTCTGATTGGCTGCTTGCTCTTCCTCCTGTTCATCCTATACATGGAGAGAAACATGAAGCATATTGGTTCAAATGTGATGCACGCTGGTGCGTGGGAGTGTGAAGGATAAACAGTCTGACAGAGAGAAGGAGAAACATGGTCATTGAGAGTTCTCATACTAGTGCCTAGTGAGTTAATGCAACCACCATAAGAAAATAATAAAGAATTATTTTTTATTATATTTTTACCATGTACATAACTATTTATTAGAGATGCAACACTGATTTGCCCTCAGAAATGTCTAAACAAGCCCAAGCACACCACATGCCGGATGGATCCCAGTCTGCATTTCTTTTGATATTTACTTTTACTTGATCATGGCTGTGTGTAAATAAAGTTTTTATTTTTTACTGAATGCTACTTTATTTATTTGTTTGTTTGTTTGTTTGTAACCCCTGATCCATTACCCAAAAAATGTGTTTACCTTGGTCAGCTCTTGTGCATTGGCCAGATTGTCCACAGCGATAGCCAAGAACACATTGAGCAAAGTGTCTGTTCACAGAAGGGTTAAGGATCATCATATTAATGCTTCACTGGTGTATGTGGAAAATTAAGCGAAACAGCATGTCAGCATGCAATACTATGTGTTTGGATACAGTTGCCGAAGAGTGTAAGAACGATGAAGAAGACTGAGAAGACCATGCCCTTTTTGACTCCGCCCTGAGACTCGATCCCATCATACATGACCATGTTCCAGTCTTCACCCGTCAGGATCTAAGGTGCAGAGAGAAGGTCCATTATCACAAAGCCATGGAAAACACACAGAATGATTGCACACTGTTTGATGGGCACATTTGCTCACCTGAAATACTGTCATTATTGCTGCAGGAAAAGTATCAAAGTTTGTAGGTGGTGTGCCGGCTTCAAAATTAAACCTGAAGAGAAGAAATGGTGGTTATATTGTTGTTACACAGAGTATTTCCATGCCATGCCATGCCTTATTTAGGGAATGGACTGACTCTGATGACCTATGGAAATAAATGTTAAAAAAATTATGTTATTATGTGTATTGTAGTGTTATACTGACTGTCCTCCAAAAAGCTGCATGCCCAGCAGAGCAAAGACCACGATGAAGAGGAAAAGGAGGAAGAGTAAACTGATAATGGATTTCATGGAGTTCAACAAAGACACCACCAGGTTCCTCAGAGACGCCCAATACCTGAAAATGGGAAAGAAGGACATTTAAAATGCTTAGTCCTTCTTAAAACAGTTCAAAGAGTGGGACAGAAAGACAGACATGGGACTCGAGACGTGAGAGACTCACTTGGTCACTTTGAAGATCCTCAGTAACCTGAGAGCTCGTAACACACTGATCCCAAACGAGGTTCCTGGCTGGATCATAGACCAGAGCACCTCGAAAATGCTGCCACAAATGACCTGTCCCACACACACACACAAAGACACACACATATATGAAACACAAATTTAAAGCTCATTCAATAACAGCAAGCCACAAAACAAAAAACCCTTACCCAACGTCAAACACTAACCCATATCTGCTTCACACAGTTCTCACAAAATAATTTATTAAACATCCAAAACACTGAAATACTGATTAAGAAACTGATTTAGTACAGTGAATTACAAATTATACAAACAACTTCAGTAACTATATCAACATTAAGACCTGAAAGAGCAATGATTGGCTGGAATAATGGCTTGGTTTCCTTCAAATGTTTTTTGGATTTAGTAAAAGAAGGAGGGATGGGAGAAACTCACAATGCAGTCAAAACAGTTGAAGGAGGAGTGCAAATAAGGTCTGGTCCCCAGCCCATACATCTTAATAAACATCTCCGACATAAAGATCCCCAGGAAGATGAACTCAGCAAAGTCTGGATTGAAGAGAGAGAGGGAAACAGACAGAGACAAAGAGCATTTGCAAAGGTCAAAGATACAAAGAAAAGAAAGAAAACCATTTGTGCAGCCACATTTTTAAATATGGAGGGGGGGGGGGCACATATTTTAAACACAGGGGCATCTCAATAAATTAGAATGTCGTGGAAAAGTTCATTTGTTTCAGTAATTCAACTCAAATTGTGAAACTCGTGTATTAAATAAATTCAATGCACACACACTGAAGTAGTTTAAGTCTTTGGTTCTTTTAATTGTGATGATTTTGGATTCACTATCAATACCACCAATTCACTATCTCAACAAATTAGAATACTTCATAAGACCAATAAAAAAAACATTTTTAGTGAATTGTTGGCCTTCACACTTTTTAAAAGCAAGAAAATTGTTGATTTCAAATGACAGAGATACTGTTCAAACAATAGATATGCTGTTTAATATTACAATTAGGAAATGTAATAGTTGTCAAACTAACTGAACATCCACTGTTAATATGATGAAAATGCTATTCAGATATTTTTAAGTGTCCAAAATGTAATACTTTTGAGGGTATTACTCAAAGGGAATGTCTAATGCTATGTCATGCATTCTGACTTATTCATGCTGCTAAAGAGTTGGATTCTCATGCTAAACATGACCAAAGTCTCAAAAAAGGAGTTGGACATACAGTGGGGAAAAAAGTATTTAGTCAGCCACCAATTGTGCAAGTTCTCCCACTTAAAAAGATGAGAGAGGCCTGTAATTTTCATCATAGGTATACCTCAACTATGAGAGACAAAATGAGAAAAAAAATCCAGAAAATCACATTGTAGGATTTTTAAAGAATTTATTTGCAAATTATGGTGGAAAATAAGTATTTGGTCAATAACAAAATTTCATCTCAATACTTTGTTATATACCCTTTGTTGGCAATGACAGAGGTCAAACGTTTTCTGTAAGTCTTCACAAGGTTTTCACACACTGTTGCTGGTATTTTGGCCCATTCCTCCATGCAGATCTCCTCTAGAGCAGTAATGTTTTGGGGCTGTTGCTGGGCAACACAGATTTTCAACTCCCTCCAAAGATGTATATATATATATACACACACACATATACATATACGAAAAAGAAAAAGAAGAAAAAAAGAAAACCGATTCAAAATATTAATAATAGCTCAGTGCTATGATATACACCATGTTACTTTTTATCAATATTATCCTAAGGTTTTTAAATCGTCTTTTAAAGAATACCAAAAACTAACATGTTTTTTATGGTCATTTTTATGCCAAAACCCCATTGATCAACCCTGAGCCAAAAAAAACTACAAGTGTATTTGTGTGTTCTTTATATAACTCAAATGCACCTATATCTCCATCTCCATCCTCTGCATCGAGCAAGTCTGCTTTATTCTTCTTGATGGTAGGCCTCCTTCGCGAGCCTGTGTGTAACAGACCACAGTCGCATACAGATCAAATATACATACAGATTCTGACAACCTAAAATATTAATGCATAACAGATAGATGAACAGAAAGAACTAAACGAGACAACTAGGAAGTGTAGTGTGTCTATCACATGTCTGCTGTAAGCTACAGACTGACGGCCCATGTAAATGTACCCATGAACACTACATTAACTGTGCATATGGACAAGAAGTATACAATATCACCCCCTCAGCAAAGCCAACACGCTATTGATCTCTCTCTTCTTTTACAATGAGAAATCAACACCTAGTCCCAGTGAGGGAGCAAAGAGAGGAGCAGAGGGGGATGAAAAGGAAGGAAGGATGGAGGAGTTCACGTAAATACCGTCAAAGGGCATCCGGTCATCTGGGTCATGGTCCTCGTCAGCCAAAATCACTTCTTCTGTACAGAATCAAAACAGATTCAAATCAAACCACTGCAAAAGGCATGAAAATGGGGACAATTTCTAGTGCTTAAACGAAGCCTAATAAAACATTGTGTATGTTATCAGCATGCTCCAATAGTGAGACGCACAAGTGTAAAGACATCCGTATCAAAAGAGACAAGCTACTATCTGAATTCTTGGCTTTAGCTTCTCTCTGGAGTATTTAATGGCTCTTTCTATGGCATTTACCTGCTTTGCAGATCCACTCCAGATATCCGTTCAGCTCTCTCTCTATCTGCTGCTGACGCTTCAGCTTAAGAAACTCTCTCCTGTTCTCCACACGCTCCCTTTCTTTGGCAAACTCACTGTATCACATACACATGCATGCAAACAAATACTTGTCAATGGAAGAACACAAAATGCACATACATACTAATTATTTTGGAGATTTTTGGAGAGGGAAAAAAACAAGTCATCTTGGCCACAGATTAACAATTCTTTCCCACTACTTAGTTAATTTTCCGCTCTTTAGTTAAATTGTGGCCACGTTGTACTAAATTTAAATGAGGGAACTAATTCTATTACACCTATTTTTTTTCTGCATGTCAAGCGTGGGACTTCGTAATAACATAAGATGTTTAGGCATAATTCTAAGCATTTTAAGCTTCGGATGTCTTTATCGATAGATAATGAAAATTTTGTGTTTTTAAATATTTTTGAGGGACTTTTTAATAAAGAATGTGCAACAAATACTGAAATTCAGGAATTTATATACATTTCATTAATTAACTTGTATTAATGTCTGAAACAACACAAAAATAATCTGGGATTCAAAATGCAATTTAAATCTAAAAATAAGTTACAAAAAAAGATAATGATGACAAAATGATTAAGAAATATCTCAGATTCTGCACTAGCTCACTAATAAAAAAAATGTGACACTGACATGTGAACTTATTTGTACAAGAGATCAGATTTCTTTCCACTGAAGCACAAGATGCTATTTTCACTCAGTTTTTATTAAAATTGCTCTGCTGATAATATAATAAAAAAATATAATGAAAATTTCTATAATTGCACCTGTAAAATTTTTTAATCTAAAGTCATTTTCATTTGTGGTGGTATCCCCAAGATATCTACCTCTGTATGGGCTAATAAAAAAAAAAATAAATAAATAAAAAAATAAAAAAAATCACACAATACACAAAAACGTAATTTTTTAAACACATAACATCCACAAACTCTATAGTCCACATAAAATCCACAAAACTATCATGAACACTAATTCATAAGCAAATCAAACAATGCACCAGTGTAGACCTGAAAAAAATCAGCGCAGAATTTGAGAAGAGCTCACACTGTCTGAGAGAGGTTTCTTACCCTGACAGCACACCCAGCACAAGATTGAGCATGAAGAAGGAGCCGATGATGATGAGGGGGATGAAGTACATCCAGTTCCATGCACTCCCTGAAGCATCATTGCTCTGTAACGGCATAAAGCAGCCCAGTCAGTACCATGAGGCACACATCCAAACATTTTTTCTCTCTCCAGCTGAGAGTACGGTTTGTTCATCTGGTTTTCTTTGTGTTTGTCTTCCCAAGACTCTCCACAGTAGAAAGACATCAGAATGTTTGCCATTTTTATTTGGTAATTTTTATAAGGTGACGGGAAATTTGACCCCACTAACAGAGGATGAGAACATCTATGACAGAACTGTGGCAGATCCTAGGACACCACGTACCATGCGACGTGCAACCTGAGAATGGCAACCATCTGGCTGGGGCTGCTTCATCTGTGGTACACACAGCTGGGTGCTCAGCACCGCTGCACCCTGTCACTGCAGAGAGGAACAAATGGGCAGCCATCTTGTGTGGCATTGCTCCACTGGCTGCCTCTAGGGAAGAAGCCCAGGCTACAAAAGCCCAGATCGAAACAGCCCACAAGTGCTGCTTTAGGAAATCTGGAGATGATGTTACAATCTCTACACATTTTTGGTATTTTCAAGGAGGCACATTTTGTTTTAAAGGAAGTGTTCACCCAAAAAATGAAAACTGTGTCATCATTTACTTACGTTATGTCGTTCAAAACCTGTATGACTTCCTTTCTTCCAAGGAACACAAAAGATGTTTAGCAGAATGTCCAAGCTACTCTCTTCCATAGTGAAAGTGGATGGGGAACAAGGATTGTCAAGCTCAAAAGGACACAAAAAGCACCATTAAAGAATAATAAAAAATAGGCCATATTGCTAGTGCATTATATTCAATTATTATTCAAATGTTCTGGAGCTTGCAATAGCTGCGTATGAGGAACAAACTCAAATTTAAGTTGTTATTCACTCAAAATCTTAGACTTTCATTGAATGTAAAAAGCAGCCTGGACATTGTGATAAATATTTCCTTTTAAATATAATTTTTTTGGGCATTTTGCCTTTATTAAAATAGGATAGTGTAGAGTAGACAGGAAGCGAAGTGGGTTGGGTTGGGTTGGGTTGGGGGGGATTCAAACTCGGGACAGCCGCAACGCAACAACATTATATTTCGGCGCACTGCCCACTAGGCTATCGGCATCAACACTAAATATCCTTTTGCATTCCAAAAAAAAACAACAACAACTAAAAGTTCATAAGGGTTTAGAACTAGGACCGGGAAAATAAATCGATGCATCGTGAATCGAGAAATGATTCAGCATAGATTCTGAGATTTTCCAAATGCATCGCGATTCTTTCTCGAATCGATTCTGAGCTTAGTTTTGAACAGCAGATGGCACTGCATGCTTTAGAAACAGCCGTACTCTGCTTGCTTCCAAATCCTTACACACACTTGAACGGTTGAATCTAAAATAATAATTCATAAACTTCGAAAAGGTTGAAGCGAATTACAAGGGTGTTCACAGTGGGCTGTGTTTACATTAATCTCGCTTCATAAAAGCATTCTAAACTTGAGGTGAAATTAACGTTACATGACTCAGTCAAACGCACAAGCGCTCTTCTTCGTGAGCATTTGAGTGTGCAGATAAAAACTAGATTAGAACGCCATCTGCTGTTAAAAACTAAGCTCAGAATCAATTACAGAGAGAATCGCGATGCATTCTTAAAATCTCCTCAGAATCGATCCACGAATCTCAATGCATCGATTTATCGTCGCAGCCCTGTCCGGAACTCATATCTGAAGTAAACTAGCTAATCCTTTAAAGATATTTTAAAATAACCCAGCTGAATCTGCTGAGATCTTTAGATTTTATTTTCCATTTACAGTAATTTGTCAATATTTGTAATATACAATGGCATTTTGTTGTAGCTACGCCCCATAGTCTCCCTTGATCTGCCCCACTTCTTTTTCGTCCGCTCCTTCACTCTCTCTGCGTGTCTGAGAGCTCTGAAAGCCCCAGTATGTACTGCAGCTTTTTTGCAATTAAATTTTCATAGGTTTCTTTCTCAGCAGCTGCAAGAATAACTTCAGTTGAGCAGGGTCTGTTATATATAGAGCCCCGTTCACTGGAGAGAAACAGGAGGAAGAAATAAGCTGGAGCAAGTAAAAATTGGGGTACAGCGAGCCAAGCAGCAAAAGTTATAAAAAGAAAACAGGGATAAAAATACAGTAAGACCAAATAAGAGATGATGACATCTGATTGGGCTGTACAGAACTGCAAGCCTTAGGAATAACCATCCTCAGACTAATTCTCACTGGCAAGCAAGATCATTTCTAAAATAAACCTTTAATCCTTAAACATGCTGTTGATTTGTGAGATGGATTGACGTGGCATTGGGATTAAACTGGCCCCTGAGGTAACATCATTAGTTTGTGAAAATCTTGAACATAGCATTGACTTCACTGCCCTATTTTCTGGCGCAGAAGGCAGGTGAACTCACCGGAAACAGCACTGTCTGTTCAGAGTGGACAGGCTGGCCACGAGCGATAAGACTATAAATGCACTGCGCCATCTTTGACTCTATAGGCGAGATTTTGCTTACTGTATGTCTGCGACTGAAAGGTACAGTGGATGTGGATTAGGTGGGGCTGTTCAGTCCCTTAGATTGGATACTTTCTGATAATCTTTAAGTAAAAGAAATCAGTAATCCTCTACTCGGAGGATTAATCAAAACCATAATAATACAGGATGTCCATGTTAAAAGGTGAGGCCCACCAATTCCAAGCCCATCTGAGACAAAAGTGTTTTTGCGCTTCTTGCACAAAGACTACTGTGCTGCTATAAAATATATATTAAATAGAAATACTGTAACACTTTTATTCAGCAAGAAAGCATTTTATTGACTCCATTAAATGCGGTTTTGTTTGAACTTTCTATTTTTAAAAGAATCCTGAAAGCATCACAGTTTCCACAGTATTAAGCAGCACAAGTGTTTTCAACATTGATTGTAATGAGAAATGTTTCTTGAGCAACAAATCAACATATTAGAATGATTTCTGAATGATCATGTGATGTGACTGAAGACTGAAGTAATAATGCAGAAAATTCAGCTTTGCCATCACTGTAATACATTTTAAAATATATTAAAACAGAAAACATGAATATTTAAAATTGCTCACAATTTCACAGATTACCATTTTTATTGTATTTTTGATCAAGTAAATGAACAGTAGTGTGTAGGGTGTGTATGTAGTGTGTATGTATGCATGTATGTATTTATGATTTCACACAAGCACTTTAGAACAATCAGAATTGAACATTTCTCTTGAAACATTGTTTGCAGTCTATTTAAGCTTAGGTCAAAAAATCCAAAAATTAAATAAGGACTCTATGGCTTTAGTGAAATTTTTGCAATGTGACTTACATAGTATAACAGGTCAGTCCAGCCCTCCATGGTGATGCACTGGAAGACTGTGAGCACGGCAAACAGGATGTTGTCAAACTGGGTAATACCATAGTTGGGTCCAATCCAGTACTTTTTACATACTGTTCCATTAGGACAGGTCCGAGCGTTAGTGTCATTTCCGCATGGAAACTCCTCTCGTATCTCATCTATCAGAAAGAAAAGGGTGTTTTTTTTTCATACACAATCAAAGTTTTGGAGATCATGAATGAAAAAAATCTGCGAGTGAGAACAAGCACATAAAGGCCTACCAGTGATGTTGTCAAAGCAAGTGGTGTGAAATTTGCCCATGTAGAACTCAAGACCAATGATGGCGAACATGAGGATGGCAAAGAAGAGCAGCAGACCGATCTGCAGCAGAGGGATCATAGCCTTCATGATGGATTTAAGCACAACCTGCAAGCCTGGAAGAAAGAGAACAAGCATTTTTACATTGTCGAAGGTCTTAGTTTAGTTTTTTCTTTGCAGCATAAAATTGGATTTCAAAGCTTGGCAAAGGGTATAATGGGCACAAAGGGTACAACGTAAACTGAGAATTATCATACTTCTAATATACTGCATCAGCATCATAAACGCAATCCTTACTCTGCACTGTATTCAAGTCTACTCAGGTCATGTGATAGTTTCATTTGAGGAACCTAACGCAATTTAAATGGATAGTTCACCCAAAAAGTAGTTATATTAAAGAGTTATATTAAAAAATGTCCTGGCTCTTCCAAGCTTTATAATGGCAGTTTGTCATAATTTGTATTTATCTGAAAGAAGAAAGTCATATATACCTAGGATGGCTTGAGGGTGAGTAAATCATGGAGTAATTGTCATTTTTGGGTGAACTATCCCTTTAACCCTTCTCTTTAACCAAGCTCTTATATGACATTCGCAGGTGCATTTTTAAACACATCAAATTGGCCATGTGTCTTCAATAGGCACTTTCGCACCGCGCAGTTCTAGGAACTTAGTTCTGGGAACTAGCCACCAGGGTGGTTCCTAGAGAACCAATTTCTCCCTCGGGCCGTTTTCCTGGTTGCATTCGCACCAGCAGCGGGAATTCTGAAGCGGCGATAGTGGCGTCTTTATTGGCGGCATTTACAAACGTCAACAACCGGTGAATGGAGGACGTCGTGATCGGAGCTGTTTTTGTTGTGTTGTGTGGGTTTCGCGATTATGGAGATGGAATGTAAACACACACTTAACGAGAGTGAAAAGAGTGTGAAAATCTGACTAAATCTCCTGTGACAACTTGCAGGGTTACATATCATCGAGGCTGAGAAAAGAACATAACGCTGCAGACAACAGGTAAATACCGTTAGCACCATTTTCCATGTTCGTAGAGTAAATATTTTTACACGGCTTTTTAAAAATGCCAGGTAGCCGGGGTTTCGCATGCGTTTGTCCACTCAGTGTACACTTACGTCACTGGTAGTTCCTATAGAAGTGTTTTAGTCCCTACTCTGAAGGAGCTAAATTAGTTCCCCCAAAAGGAGTTCCTAGACCTAAATACGTTCCTAGTTCTTGCGGTGCGAACATGCCAAAAAGTGGGAACTTCTGCCAATAGTTCTAGGGACTATGTAAAAGTTCCTCTGGTGTGAAAGCACCTAATGAGTTCAAACCTAGTGTGATGCATTGCTTTTGCAGATACAGGGTCAATCATTCTTAGTGTTCAACAGTCCCTTTCATTCACCTTCAATTCTCACCCACTATTCTTCTTTGCTGATAAAGTCTTGCCATGCTTTGTTTATGCAGCCATGATCATTAATTAAGATTTTTGTTCTTTGGCTGTCAGGGTTACAGAGGCTCCTGCTAAATGGGCTCCCAAGATTTGTCCTTTTTATTGGAAGTCTGACAAATCACCCATTTCACAGATGGCTTGTCCTAAACAATGATGAACAAAACGTATACTACACTAATTTACAAACTAAAGAATATAGACAATAAAAAGAGAAATATAAGCAAATCATTTATTTTGTTGTTTTTTTCCTGTAGCCTACACAAATTATATGAACTTTTAATAATGAGTATTCACGTTAGTTTGTCCAACACCTGTACATATACTGTACATGAGTAAACAATGACAATGTTACTCACTGGGAATCCCAGACACCAGTTTGAGGGGTCTCAACACTCGAACAGCACGCAGCGTCCTCAGATCAAGGTCTGTGCCCACTGTGGACAGGATTCTGGAGAGACAAGAAAATACTTTAGTTTAACCTGGGATATTGTGGTAGACAGCAGCCCTTCTACTCATACAGGATTTGCTTTTAGTGACAGCTTTTTTGAAATGGGAAAAGCATGTGTAAAAGCAGACAAAGGCGCTTAACCCGAGCTCATGTAAACCTATTTGCATCCAGACTAAACTAATGCCCATTCTGATCTGAAAAATCCTAAATGACCATACAGTAGTAACACTTCCCCTAGTCAGGCATCTACTCGACAGTGTGTGCATCCAAGACTATGGACTCCAAGAAAATAAGCAGTGGGCACTAATGGTTTCAGAGAGGATGGCACACACTGCCCGTCCCCCTGCAGAGTGAATGTCAGAGGTCCATGCGCAGAGAATAGAGATAAATGTGGATACCGCTGCTTTGTATTCATATGACCTTTATTTGTGCAGGAAAGTCACTGGAAACTGATTCTCTTCAGTGATAACATGCAGAGAAGAACAAAGACGTGAATCCAACTGAATCGACACAGCACCGCTGCTAGTGAAATATGTGACACAGGAATTTTAATAAACATTCAGACCCATGGTTGCAGCAGTAAAATATCAGTTTAAACACCACGTGTTTCTGGACACAGCTGACAACCTAAACCGGCTTCATTGGGAAGGACATATAGGAAAATGACCCTTGACACATTACTACCGGTCTAAAACTGCTTTGATATGAGTGTCAACTAAACAAATCTGCTGCCTTCATCTTTGTGTTCAATAGAACAAACTAAAAGCAAAAAAGCACAGAAAAAAGCAAAGGAAATAGGAGAGGCAGAAGGAAGACTGGTTATGCAGTTAATATTAATGTAAATTACTGGGGATGGACAGAAATGAGAAAGAAAGGAGGGGAGAGAGAGAGAATGAACAGAGCAAAGGGGGAGGAGGTGAAGAAAGAGAGCCAAAGGGGTTTGGAGGAGGAAGAGGGAACAGAGAAAGGGGAGGAGCTGGATGAGAGTGAGAGGAAGATGCTGACTGGCTGATTTATTCCCATCTCTCCTCGTCTATTTATAGAGCTGCAGCCTGAGAGCCACCACTGTCAGCTGTACCGGACTTATTATACAACACTTTCTCCCCCGTTCTCTAACACGCTCTCACATTTGTGTTTCTATGAGGGTGGGGACATTTCATTGACTTCCACTGATTTATAATGAGCTAATGACGCTTTTGGTTCGCAACCCTGTTCCTAATATTAAGATATTTTTTAAAATATGTTTATTGAGCCATGTTCCTTATATAGACTGTTGGTAAAACCTGTAATTTCAGGTTTTACTATTGGGGGACATTTGGTCCACACAACGGGCAAATTCTGACTCAGGATTTCACATTAACATTATGTATACAATTTATCAAACATACATGCACAAATAAAATGACCGAATGGCTTGAGCTTTAATGACCGTAAAAAAAATAAAAAAAACGAAGAAGAGGCAGACACCGAGCCAAACCACACGTCAAATAAAGAAAAATTAACTTTGTAATCCAATTCAACTGAAGGCCTAATCATAAAAACAAAACAAAACAAAAAACAGCCCTAGCAGTTAGTGTACATGTTCTAAAACAATAAAATAAATACCTAGAGGCCCCCAGGTAATCTAAATTTAAGACCCCCACTGTAAAGGTACATAAAGTGTCAAAACAAAACAAAACAGAACAGGCCTAGCAGTTAGTGTACATGTTCTAAAACAAAACAAAACAAAAGAAAATCTTGACTCAGAATTAATAGGATTATACATTAACATTATGTATATAAACGAACAAACATACATGCAGTTAAAGGGTTAGTTCACCCAAAAATGAAAATTAGCCCATCTTTTACTTACCCTTAAAGCATAGGTGTATATGTCTTTCAACCAGTCGAATTATATTCAAATGTTTCCTTGCTCTTCTAAGCGTTTGAATGGGAGTAAGCAGATGTTTTTTTTTTTCAGCAGTCCAAAAGTAATCAAATAAAACACGCGCATCCATATTAAAACGTGCCTCACACTGCTTCGGGGTGTGAATAAAGGTCTCCTGTAGCGAATCGATGCATTTTTGTAAGAAAAATATCCATATTTAAAATGTTATAAATAGTTTTTTCTCACTTCCGCTGACTGTCATACGTGCAAGCCGTTCTGGTGGATGACGGAGGACATATGCGTCGCGCACACGCCAGTGAGATACGCTAGTCTCGCGAGTTTGTTTACAGGAGCAAAGGAAGCAACGTTTTCTTACTTTTCCAAAGGAAAACTAGACTCCTCTTGGTTTATATCGAAATCCTCCGACATTCTTCTTTACAAATCCTCATTTTGTACTTCTAATTAGTGACCGTTGTTTTGTTCGGATCTCTCCTCCGTGCTTCCGTGCACGTTTTATTACGCATGCGCACACTTTATTTGATTACTTTTGGACTGTTGAAAAAAACACCCGCTTACTCCCATTCAAACTCTTGGAAGAGCGAGGAAAATTTTTAAAGGGGTCCTATTATGCTCTTTTACAAAGTCTCGATTTTGTTTTGGGGGTGTACTAGAACATGCTCTCATGCTTGGTGGTTCGAAAAACGCATTATTTTTCACATAATTTACATTATTAAAAGACCTTTCTCCCCATCCTGGCACAAACGGCTCGATTAGTTCCGGCTTTGATGAAGGTCCGCCTTCCGAAAAACAAAATGGGTTGTGATTGGTTAGCTGTCCCAGTGCGTTGTGATTGGCGAACAGCTTAGACGGTGTTTCAGTACTGCCACGCCCCTTGCTCTGTCTTTCAACAAAAGCTTTTTGGCGAATCCGGCAGGCACTGTACTCCCTCATGTTGTGGAAGCTGTCCTCAGTAAAATGCGCAGCACACAATAGCAAATTGGGGTTATAATGCTCAGGAACGGAGATAAAAAATAAATTGCAACCACTGTTTCCTGACATCATCCGCTTTCAGAAGCCCAAACAAAGATGTTTGGGCACGGAGGTGAAAAAAACAGCTTTCAGGCAGTCGCGCACCGGACGAGAAGCGCAGCGTTGCGTCGCGCCACATCTTTAAAATTCAAATACATTATTTTCTATGAGTGTAGGCACACTGGCGGCGCTGTTCGGCATTTGTCCGTGGTGCCCAGCTACGTCGTGTTGTACTTGTAAGAATTGTTCTAGACATGCCAAAAATTTGAAGCTACAGCACAGCAGCTCTTCTTCGTCGTCTCGTCTGATGTACTCACTCAACCAAGTCTTCTAACCACAACCTCGCCCCTCCCCACTAGGATTGCCGCGATAGATGGTGCTAACGGTGATACCGGTGTTAAGCCGCAACACCGACCCCCACCGTCTTTTTGATTTTTTTATAGAAATAAAAATCATTTAGTTCAGTAAAAGAACAGACACTACAATTAAAAACTGAACGCGGCTGCTCAATGCAGCGTGCCGAACGACAGTCCCATCACAGATCAGATTTCATTTCTCCAGTGAGGAGAGTGAGTCGAGCTGACTGACAAGAATATACGCTAAAGTGAGTTTGACGTTGTATTTTGTGGTTGTATTCAAGCAATTGACGCCTAACTGCCGCTAATTCAAAAGTGAAAGTAAAATGCGCACAGCGCTTTTAAGCTATTTAAAAGCGACGGAAAGCGAGGAAAAGAGGTAAAATTCAAACGAACTAAAAACGAACAATTGCTTTACTCCGAATTGCTGCTATTTGAAAGTGAAAGTAAAATGCGAGAAGGAAGAGACGGAAAGCGAGGACAAGAGGAAATGCCCCCGCCCCCGCGGTGATACCGGTATTACCGGTGTTGTCACACGTCGATTAACCGGTGGGAAAATTTCCTCACCGTCACAACCCTACTCCCCACCCCCCAACCATTCGAATTTCTGTAGGCGGAAAATTAAATTATTTTTAATGCTATTCTAATAGGCCACTTTGTGATATCACAAAGCCCGGAAACCAACGCTGTAGTCCAAACGAATCGTTCGTTGTAGTTCTTGAAAAGGGATTTTTAAAAAAAGGAAATATCTCCCTTTAGAGTGGACTTTGAGATTTGTAACTTTCTAGATATTTTTTATGCCCAAACATACACACTGACTAAAATTAAAAAAGTGAAAAAGCATAATAGGACCCCTTTAATATAAAAACAATGCAAAAAGTAAAAGTTATACCTGTTTGAAAAGAACTTCAGAACACACACACACACACACATATATATATATATATTTGTTTGTCTATTTGTTTATGTAATCATATGCCCAACTGTTTGTTTATTATTAATTCTGTCTGTTCTGTTAATTCATTTACAACCCAGTTTGTGCACCTGAGCCAGTGTTTTTGCATCTGTTTTTGGCTTAGGTAGGAGCACTGTGACCTGCAAATCCAGCAGGCTGCTTGTAATGTCTTAGCACAGACTTAAGGATAATGTTTTCTGAGTGGTGTAATCATGCATTCGTCTGAAAATAAGTACAAGCTTTTAAAATACAAAACAACCTAAAATAAGTCTTGATCTTTACAAAAAAAATTAAGAAATTAGAACCTCTATCAATGACAAGAATATTCATCAACAGTATATTTCGAACTAAAGTAACCCATGATAATTAAATGTGAGATGATTTTGCAAAATTCAATATTATGAATGAATAAAACCCTCATGTCATTGTCAAATAAATTCAGCTGAAGGCCTATTCATAAAAATAAAAACAATAATAATAATAATAATAATAATAATTATTATTATTATTATTATTATTACTACTACTACTACTACTAGGTAGAGGCCCCAGGTAATCTAGATTTAAGACCCCCACTGTAAAGCTACATACAATTTTATTTTCACTAGACTGGATGTGCTGAGAGAGATGCCTTGATGTTTTGAGCTTGGGGGGTTTAGGAAGGTGAACGGTGGGTGTGTGAGCTCCAGTTGAGCTCCCAAAGAACCTGGCAGATTGGGTTTATGGGATACAGAGGAGGACTCACAGGTGTTTACACTGCACTGACAGGGGGCAGCCCACTGGGAGGCATCTG